GCTGAGTGATATTGATATAAAACAAAAGGGACAAGGTTAGGTGAGGAAGATAAGAGTAAAAAGATAAAAGTGTGAAGGAGAACAAACAAGTTCAGAGAGTGTTGGCGAAATCCAAAATAAGGATATACTAGAATTACAGTAAAACACAAGGAACCAGAAGACAAAACACAGGATCAGGTGCTGCTCCTTTTTTGAAAAAGGATTCATTTCCATCCGAATGTGCAACTGAAACACTGCCATGATATGAGGCATTTAACACTGCTGATTTTGCTGTAGATGCTGCGATTTCAGTTTCAATTTCCTTCTTTGTTTCTCCACTAGATCCTCCAAAACATGTTTTCCCTGTAGCGCTGCAGCACGAACCATGAGTGCAGCCTTTTCTGCCTCCTCTTCAAGCCGTGCAGATGATGTGGTAGACGTGCTGCTTACTGAGACATTACTTTTTCGACCTGAGCCTTTGTATTTGACCCAACATTAGAAATGCTGTCCTGAGGCTCCACATTAACCACATCATTATGCATAGCAACACTTGCAACATGAAGGCAACATTGATTGCAAGTCAACCATTTTTTTTTTACATCAACAATAAACACTGTCATAAACACTGAGCATTTTTATCTTAAACCACATGTCATACTTTTCCACCTCCTCTTTAAGTAACAACCCCATTCAAGCTGCATGGTTTTCTTTTGCCTCACCACAGAGAACAAACATTTTTTTATTACCCATCAAATCAACAATTAATCCTTGGAGAACGTGTGCTCTGTGAAACTTCACCTTTCTTTCTTTCTGCAGGTTGATCATTTTGAGTGCTTCTCTGTCGATTTAACGGTCTGCTTTTTTACAGAGTAGTTCACATCACCTGAACCAACCTGAGGCTCTGTCTCAGTTAAGAGTTCAGAATCGGAAATGTGTTCTTTATCCAGTCAATCACGCAAATTCAGCTTCGTCAATACACTCTCAGTTCATTTACCACCAATACATTGGATTTTTACGAGCAAAGTTATTTGTGTAAACATTTACAACAATGGCCAGTGTTTTGTTGGACATATCACTACACAAACCTTGGCGTTGGGCGGCATACAGCTGTTCTGAAGTTCTGTTTTCCTCCGCAGCTCTGCAACAGGAGAGGCTGAGAGGCCACAGCAGCTGGTCCCAGAACACAGTCAAAGAGCAAAACCACTCTCTCTGTCATGAATCTATCGCCCCGAAACATTCATGTGACAGACATCAACTGTGGTCAAAACCTTCACTTTGGTTCTTGTTCCAGCAACATCTGTGTCAAGTACCTCACCTGATTATATTGACCTCTGGCCTCAGTGTCAGCGGCACTACTCCCCCAAGTGGTGGGAGGTTTAACCAAACAAAAACAAAATGGCTCTTACACCTAACATTTATCCCACCTTTACCTAACCTTAACCTAACCTTGACCTTAAACATAAACATAAACTTAAACTTAAACTTAAACTTAAACTTAACCTTAACCTAACCTTAACCTAACCTTAACCTAATTTTAACCTTTACCCTAACCTCACCTAACCTTAACCTTAAACATAAACTTAAACTTAAACTTAACCTTAACCTAATTTTAACCTTTACCCTAACCTCACCTAACCTAACCTAACCTTAACCTTAACCCAACCTCATACTCAACCTTAACCTAACCCTAACCCTAACCTTTCCTTAACCTAACCTTAACCTTAACCAAACCTAACCTAAATTGTAATGCTTTATGTTATGATTTAGTTTTTGTCCCCATAAAGAAGACAAGTCCCCATAATGTATGTATATAAACCACACACACACTCTAACCTTAACTTTAACAATTCTTCACTTTAAAATGATGAGAGTATTTTAATATTTTAACTTGCCGCTAATGGCTAAAACAATACCACTAAACACTTGAAAGATACACAGACTCACAATAAATATGATTTAAGTTTGATGAGTTCAGCTGTGAAGCATCAAATATCACAGTAACCAGGAGTAACTGAGTGATGAATGGATCAGTGTCCGGACAGATACATCTGTGAGTGGGTGGCTCTATACTCAACATTTGAGACTTAACAAAGAGAATTAAAAATCATTAAACATTAAATATCCATGTGTATGTGGAGAAGAACTTCTTGAAATCTAATCAGCACTAATATTGAATGTTTATAACATTCATATTGGAGCCTGGCACAGCCCTGGTCCAGATTAAAGAAACCAGATCCATGCCTGAATTGACCCTTTGTTCCAAAGGACACCAGCCCGTGTCCGCTTTGTGTATCTGACCCAGGATGAAGACCTTGAACCAGATCTGGGCCAAAGATGATTTTGCTTTATTGGTTCAAATAAACAGGATCTTTACAATAAGCTTGTGAAAAATGTACCAGTGAAAGTGTTCACTTGAAACCTAGTACACATCAACAAGATGGGCAAATAAATAATATATATGGTAAAACTATAAACATTTAAAGGTAAAATGTTGGATTTTGTAATATATATATAATGCATAATATCTGCATCATACAAAATGTGTTTCTTCCTGACACTGACATGAATGCTAATGAGTTGTTGTTTGTCTTTTTAATTATGCTTATCAGTCCTCCACTTCAGACTGAACTGTCTTAACCACCATTTGATGGGTTGCCATTAAATGTGTGTGGGCGTGTGATGGTCAGAATCCTAATGACTCCACCATAAAGGTTTATGTTTGTGTGTTTCCTCTGGATCTGTAATAACCTTTCTGACTCCAATATCCAAGAATGTGGGAAGGACGAGACAGGCACATCTTTCAACATGGGCTTTATTGAGTTCAATGCAGTTTACATTTTTACAGTGCCATTCTAATACATAAAGACACACCACTGGACATGGTTGCGATCTTTGATTCTGTACTCTTGTGACCCACAAAGATGCACCAGAGACCGGACGTTTTGAAAATATCCTCTTGCTTTGTCTGCATTTTTCTGTCTAGTAGCAGCCCAATAATCCTAGAGAACAAAAACACAATGAAGGACGATGCACATCAATGCAAAGATGGAGTTTAAGGCCATTTGAAGAGGCGTAACTATGTTTTTTTACACCAAATATAAATAATGTTTAAAAGCCATCGGTTCAGTTTTGTCTTAAATATGTCGCTAAGCTAATGAACTATTCTAATCAGTTTAAATAGCTAGCATATATATATATATATATGTATATATACATATATATGTGTAGGGACGTGCCAATGCCGTCCCACTTCATTTGTGCCTCCTTCAGGTACATTTTGCTAGACAGAAAGTTACACACACACACACACACACAATGAGTAGGAAGGGAACTGGTTTAAGAGCCTGTTCAGCAGAGAAAAAGCCTACGAGCAGCTTCTTGGCGGGGCACACATTAGAAAAATATAGAATATATATGTATATATGCTGGACTGGAACGTATGAGAGCAGACATGGCTCATAAGATGCTCAGCACACAAGCATTTACAAAGTGAGAATCATCAACAGTCGATGCAGGGTCATATTTGTGTTTTTTACTCTATTTTGGTGAAACATGTTCATGAAGGTTACATGGTTCTGTGAGCTGTGAAGATGGAGAGAGCAGAGGTCCACACTGATGAAGCGAGAGGATGGAGGCACGGCTGCACTCACAGTGAAACGATGGGTGTTCCACCTGGAAATCCAGATTTCTTCCTTTATATTCTTTGAGTTCTGATGAAAAACCTGTATCGTGTTTCATTACACCAGGACATAGTGTTGTTAGCTGGAGGCTGTGTTTGGAATAGGATCTCTCACACACACACCCTTTTCCCTCCCTTCCCATTCAATTAGCCGTGCTGCCAGTTGTCAGTGTGTGAAACGCCAGATGACACACAGTCCTCCAGCTTCAATTAAAGATGGGAGGATGTTTAGAAACAAAGACGAGGTCGTCTTCCCCCATCTCTCATGGACTACGTGTGACTGGCAGGTGTGTATGTTAAACCTGTGTGAGTGTGTGTGTGTGTATGTTACACACAGGTGGGCCGGCTGTGAATGACACACGTGACTAGGTGCAGTGACAGCTGGGGGACCGCAGAGAAAGAGGTGGGGCTGCATGGAGCGGGAAAAGAGGAGGAGAGACGGACGGAGATTAGACAGATTTGCGGAGTCTGGGGAGGAGAAGGTGGAGAAGTGGAGGGGTTGGGCCGAGTGAGTGTGTGAGATGAGATATGAAAGTTTGGGTGTGTAACGTCACACTCCTACAGCCACCGACAGCTGCCGATTTGCTTAAAATGGGGAACAGACACATTATGACACATTTCTTATCACATTTAACTCAAATCAAGTCAGATGCAGAAATGCATTGTCTCCTGGGAGCAGCTGCTGCATCACTTTGCTAAATAAATCTTAACAAGTTGAATGTTGACTCTGCTGAGATGATGGCATGGATGAAGAATAAGGAATGATTAATGGATAAGCAGAAAAAACAGCCAAAGGGTTTTCTGTTTTAACATTGCAGCATATGAGCATTGCAATATGATCAATAAAAATGATTTGAACCCTTCCTCCCCATGGACCAGCGAATAGAAGCAACTGTGGCTGCAACTAATGGTAATGTTCTCACTTACTAATTACCGGTTTGGTTTGCCTAACATGTCTAAGAACAGTGAAAAATGACTGTCACAGTCTCAAAACAAAATTTAATTCAGTTGTTATATTAAGAGAAAGAGAGAAGTCATGTGAAAAGCTTTAACTAGTAGATATTTGTTATTAGAGCCTCACATTTAACAGTCATTCTACTTTATAATGTAGCTGTAACCAGACAAAGACAGTTTAATTAAACCTCTTTTTCCAACAGTTTCAGGTCCTGTGAAGTTTCTGTAATTGGAGTATGAGCAGATAATGAATGTCTGACAATACAATGATTGCTAGTAGAACTAGACTGATAAATTAACAGCCCATTATATCTGCTTACTGCAGATGCATCATTAAGATGTTAATTTGAAATAAAATGTTAAAATAACCCAATCGGTAACAAGAAAAGAGATTGGTGACAAAAACATCACATTTTTTAATTGCTCTTATATCTGCTTGCAATTACATTACAGTGTGTTGTAAACCTTTAATGAATAGTTTTGTATTGTCTATGAAAGCTAAATAGAGGGGTGGGGTATTGAAGTAATTTATAACTTAAATCAAGCAGTACATCCAAATATCAAACCATCACGACTGATGCTGTGGAAGGACCTGTTGCTGTGACTACGGCCGCCACCACTCTGTCTCTTGTGTGATGCTACAGTTCTTGCTGCTTTCCTTAGCTACTGCTTAATAAACATGCACACGCACACGCACACATACACACACAGCTCTGGCAGGCAAATAATTTATGATTATAAAGCTCAGATCAACAGGTTCAGAAATCCAAAAAAGAAAATGCACAAATAAACACAAACAAGCAGAGGATTTAGTTTCCCATTGGGCTTTGAAGTGTAAAACTCCCATGAGCTATGAGCATGAAAGTATGTGGAGTCATGGGTTATTGACGATACGCTATGAGTGTGTGTGGGTGATCTGAATGGCAGGGTGGCAGAAAATGGGAACTATAGAAGCTTGTTCAGGGGCAGGTGCTACATCCTCCCCCTGCGCTCACTCTCCATATGGCACATACAAAGCTATTGTTGAGCTGCAAGTTTTCAAGACAACACGCATAGAGGCCACACAACACGCCAGATCTGTATCAGACAGGTGAACTGTGAATTCTGGGATCAGGTTTTACCTTTTTTTAAGGATGAAAATGGGAAAAAATTTATTAAAACTAATACATACATACATACATACAAAATGAAAAATGAAACAAGTGTAGAAAAGGGACGGAGGGACAATTGGTTGAGTGAATGAAAGAATAATACGCCTGTCTCCGTATATCCACGCATGTTTCATCAGGGTGGAATAGGATGAAAACATGAATACTAGATCTCCTTCCCCCTCCAGTCTTTTTTCCAAAAAGTCCAACAACATGTGAGGATTCTCAGTCCACCGTGGGATGTGTAAGGAGGGGGGATGAAACAAAGGTAAACATCATCAGCAGTTCTGACGAGAAAAACAAGATCTTCATTTTAACTTCCATGATGACCGATCAAGGTAGTGAAAGAAACAGGTGGGGAGGATCATGGGAGGAGAGTGTTAAAAGGGGTGGTTGTCCATCTTCTCTCACAGGCGTTTTTGGGCTATGAGTGAACCCACCACGACCCCGGTCACCAGGGTCATCCCTGCAAGCAGCCACTTCTTGAAGCTCTCCTGAGACCTCCTGCTCTCCGCCGCGGAGTCGTTCCCGAAGATTTCAGCAAAGTGCTCCTGGAAGACACAAAAACGAAGAGAGAATAAGGAGGAGTGAAGTTGGAAAGATTTTTGTTCCTCCGACCAATTCATCTATAATAAAGATTTTAAAGTCAAAGTTTATAATAAAATTGAAACTGAATTTGCTTTATTACTGTTCACATGTCTAGCTCGTATACAAGTTTAAATGATTTACTTAACTGCTGTAAAAATATATTATACATTACATGTCGGTTATTGACACAATCTTCAGACCCAAGTTCACAACCAAACAAACATTATGCTTTTCAGCACCCATGCTCTGTATCTGTGTCTCAGTCTGATATGTTGAAAGATAAATAATCAGTAATTTGACCAAGATGGTGAGCACACTGTTTATTAAAGGACATAGAAAAAGTCTAAATGTTCACAGACTGACTGTCAGCATACTGCTCCCCCCCACTGACTGCAACAGAGAGCTGGTCACCTAATACATTTTTCTTATTACTGAATGTATCACATGTACAAATCCAATCTTTCTTTTGCTATTAACAATAGCCATGCCAGGTGTGAGGCCGAGTTGATGAACGTTTCGCGAGATATGCTTTCCACATACGGAAAGTCAAACTTCAGTGGAATAAGTAGGTGAAGTATTCAAATGAGAGAAAAAACCCACACGTATATAACACTTCCCAAAACTCCCCAGTCAAAAATAAGAAAACAAAAGCCACAGGCAGGTTTGGAGAGTCAGGTACATTCCCTTCTGTAAAGGTCTCCAGGCCTCGAACAAGAAGACAGCTGCTGAGACGCCCACAGCTCTGTATCAATTTGACCGTCAAAGCCCCCGCGTCGTGTGTGGAAATTTCCATCCACCACACAAATCAGGTAATGCTGTCATCCCCACCAACAAAACCCCCAGAAACCACCTGCATTGATGCTGTGCACACTGATTCCTCTCATTGATTTTAAGGAGGAATCCACATCATTAAATACATTTAATGATGCGCTTTAAAAATATTTTCCACTGAACCTCCCCCTCATTTCCCAGGCATCCCATCAGTCGTGCGACAGATTGCAGAAGCGGTGCTGTATGCCGACATTCTTTCCCGTAGCTGTCTAGCACTGCCAAGCCAGCGTAACCACCCACTGAAATCATTTCCTGGAAATGAGCAGCAGAGCATGCAGCTTTCATTTTTGGGCACAGGGGGGCGCCAGTCAGGCTAAAACAATCTCCTATGCAAACACAACAGCAGATCAGCTGAGATGGACGTGGCCTCCTGAGTCCCTTCTGATGTTGATGTTGTCAGTGCTTTGAAAGTGTCTGTGTGCGAGGATAATGCTTCTTCTTAAGAGCAGGACAGAAGGTGTTTATGGGACATCAGCAGGCGGCTGTTACTGGAAACGGCTGAGAGAGAGAGAGAGAGAGGGAGTGAAAGTGAGAGTGAGATTGAAAGAGAGGACAGGAATGATAAAGTGAAAGGACAAAGAAGGAATTACTGGCACACCAAAAGAAGGGGTGGGAGTGGGTGGGAGTGGGTGTTAGTGGGGGTGGGGGGTTATATTATTGCAGTGGATGAAGTGAGTTAGAGGATCATGGGGTCTGTTCCTGAAAGTGGATTTAACAACTTATTTAACTCTGAAACTGAGAAACCCTGAGATGACCATGTGCATGAAAAATGCATTTATCGGTTGAGCTCGAGGAGCACAAATCACCATGACATCGGGCTTATCATGCAGAACCTCCAACCCCCCTCCGAGATATTAATTTGTGGCCAAGGGCGTTCACGACTACTGCATTTTAGTTGTTGTAAACTATTCATTTCATTTACTGCTATTTTACTGCAAAGTTTCTGCATTGTCCCTGTGTACTTCCTGTATGTTCGTAACTTCTGCCTTCTCCTCACAATGCGATGTCGTGTGGAGAGTGTTGTGCCAGTGCTTTGTTGTTTTCTGTGGAAAATGTATCACTCAAGCTGTAATACATGTTGTTTGCTGATGTTGCTGCTGCATTGCTCACGTTGTTTTGATGTTAATTTAAGTTTTAGAGATGTTTTCGTGAGGCTGTTTTGGCGCGATTTGCGTCATGGCAGTGAACTGTGGGACATACATTTCTTTGTGTAATGTTTGGCATTTTTATGTTTCGGAGTTGATGTGCAGACAAAAAAGAACTGGAAGGACATTTATGTTTTTGCATTGTCCGTTGCAGGTATGTTTTTCTTTGTAAAAATGTTTTAGTTGTCTATGTTTCTGTGTAGTTCCCCTACTCCATGCACTTTCTTTATTCTGACCAGTAGGTGTCACTTTTCATCCTTTTGCACATGTTTTTGGAAAAATCTTATTATAAATAAGTAGAAAATGTTTCCTGGTCAATTTTAATATATCTTGGCTACAATAAGCAATGTTCCTTGAGCTAAGTATAGACTGTGAGGTTGTGATGATCAATGTATTTGATTTGATATTTGTATGTGTTGTAATACACACAATGCGATCCACATTGCTGAGGGAACAAATAAATGCTGGGAAACAATTTGTGAGTCGTTGTCTTCCATGCCTTTATCCACACACCGGTTACAGTAGCATTAGCAGTAAGCAAGTAAAGCTTTGGATGGTTTTGCGTAACCATTACGACTTGTCAAATGCTTGTTTTGAAAACAACAGCGCCCCCTGCTGCACTGCTGCTGTAGATGCAACTGCTTCATCACTGCACCTTGCTAAACCCACAGATGTAGGACTAGGCCACAGCGATGCACAGTGTCAACGAATGGTTTTGATAGTCGATGATGTCTGTGAAAGCTCTTGTGTGTGTATGCCTGATATATTTAATAGAAAAACACAGCAGCAGCCAAAGGAGCTTTATCTTATGAAAAAAATAGTTTTATTTAGTGCTTTATTCAAACGTTTATTTTTCAAATATGGTGAGACATATTTTACTCATAGGACTATGCTTGTAACGATATGCAATATAATCTATGTAAAAGTATTGAAGTTAATCATGTCTACAGCTTGTCATTTCTGATAGTACTGAGAATATAGGACAAGATATATCCCTTGTACATTTGAAGGTCTTCTGTGCAATGTAATTCACCAACTAACAGTAGATGTTTGCAGCTGTTAGTGGCCACGAGTGAATGTTACGGATATAACTGGGCACATTAGTGCCATCAAGTGTTTCGGGCTTGTAATCAATGATACTGGCCGAACTTAAAGGTACACTGAGGCTAAAGATAAAACTGACTGGCTCCTGGCTTGTATGGTAGTACTATGAAAGCCATGTGGCCCGCTCAGTAGATCAGACATCATTATCTCTATGCTCTTTATACTAAACACCTTTTTGAACATAGGACAAGATGGAGAATATGTGATCTTATTCTGCCACACTAATAAATGCCTACTGACAGTTGATGTTATGGGATAACAACATAATAACAACATCTCAGAATTATTAAGATAATAACTTGAAATAGTTATTGATATACTGTTTAAAAACCGAAATGAAAATGTACTGGATGATATTAGCTTAGTGTAGATGTGGCAGGCCATGAATTTCAAATGATTTCTTTCAGTTTTATCTTCCGCACCACATTCTGGCTGGATATTAATGTTCCATCAGTGAAACCAATCACACCATCATTATGACATGACTTCTCATGATCGGTGTGGCTTAATTTACGGAGCTTCACACTGAATTAGTTCTTGTACTAAAGTATTGTGAAATAAATGCGTCAATGCAGTACAACTGTTCTAATCTGACCCCAGCCAAGAGCAGAGTTACAGTGTTTTTCCTTTTCCTTTAAGTGTATAGTTTGGGCCTCTATTTACATAGAAATACAGAGAGAGAAGAAACAGAAAAATTAGAGGACAGAGAAGTCAGAATAACATGCAGAAAATAGTCTGCGAGTTCAGCCAGGAGTCAAACCAGAGACCTGCTGATCAGGGCATGAAGAAGGCCCATGTGATAAGCCAACCCCACCCCCCACCCACCCATTCAGCTATCAGGTTGGCCCAGATGAGACGTCACTGTTCTAATTCATGTAAATTCATGAGCTTCGATATCGATGGATCGCAAAGGAAATGAAACGCTGATTTCGATAGCTCCTTGAGGCACTAATACACAGCTGAGGGGGAGGGGGCCGCTGTCCTTCAACAATCCCTGATTTCCTGTTAGTCACCAGACTCAGGGTTTAGCCCCCCATTGACATAATGACGAGGTACAGGAGGAAAGACAATCACAAGTCAGAGGTGATTAACAGAGAGAATTTCAGGGAGGCGGAGGAGTGAGAAGACGCTGGAGTTTCATTCCAGGAGTTTTAATTCATTATGATTTAGTTTGATGATTACACAAGTGTGGAGTATAGTTCATTTCACGCCCCGCGGTCTCTTGCTGCCTGATGCATGACATCATCATCATCGTCACCATCACCTTTGTCATCAAAAGTAAACCACTTCAAACTGTTCTGGTCTCTGGGTGCTCAGGAATGTGAACAGTGACACTACTATTACCATAATACATGTATGAGAGGGGGTGACTTGTCTATACATAGAAATATGATGCTGAGTAGAGGTTCTGAGGAAGCCAATCTTTAGCTCTGTGGTTGATGTTTCGAAGAACATGCAGGGTGTGGATGTGCTAGTGTAAGATAAGAGGTGCTGACCTCACTCCTGACCTCACACAAACTGACTGTGACTCACAGCTCATTATAGCCGTTTATAACCAAGTCCTGCCCTTAAAATCCAGTTAATTGGCTACAGAGTTTACCTGCAGTCTGCCTTTCACACATGCACAATGCAGCAGGAAGTTCTCTCCACAATCACGTTCAAAGCAGCAACAAATCTTCGATTATTCAGGCTAGAGCTGCAGCAGCCGGGTGCAGCAGACAGAGGCAAGAAGTGTATGTATTATGTATTACCTCTGCTGCAGAGATCATGTGATTTTCTTTGCTAAACATAGACACTGTCATCAGTTCTTATCCCCACAAACTCTCTAGACATCTTAGTTGCTGTCTTCTACGTGTGTGACAAAGCATTTTCACCATTTTTGT